AATGTTCCGCCATTGATCGCCGAGTCGAGTGTGATTGATTGATGGACGATGGGACGGTGGACAGTGGACACCGCACACCAGACTCCGAACTGAGACCCACTCGAAGAGCGCGATAATCAATCCGACCAAGCACTATTGTCCATTGTCCATTCTGAGAGCGAGCCAGAGGGTGAGGGTTGGCGCACCCACAATTCAGTGGGGTTCTTGGACCCGCTTTCGAGATCGATTTCGGGCGATAAGATTAGAGGGCGGCCAAAGCGAACGAACGAACGAACGGTTGCCTGTGAGCCAATTGAACCGAATTGAACCAAAACTGAACGCCCACAGCAGCAAGCTCAAGCTCTCGCCAAGAAGCCAGAGCTCTCAGCATGGCTTGGAAGAGGCAGATAGTGGATGTGGATGTGGATGTGGAAGTGCAGGCCACACATTCCTCAACTCTGATCGACTTTGATCAACTTTGTGGCACAGTGGTCTTGGGTGCTATTAAAATGGGAGGATGAAACCTTTAATTAATAACAGTCCTTAGGGTCGTGCTTCGATGACAACTCTTCCCTTCATTCTGTATTCCTTAAAGCACCAGGAGATCTTCCATTTTCAAATCACTTCTTCTCTGTTCACTTTCCAGATTTACCCTAACATATGGATAGTTTTCTGCACTTCCTGAACAGATCGACTGTTTCCTCCATACTCCATACGCTTCCCCGAGCGGCTGTCCGCTGTCCGCTGTCCACTGTCCTGAGGCATGTGTTGGTGGCTGATTGGTTTCAATTTTTCCCCATTTAAGCAGTACAGTACGCAGACAGAGGCAGCTCGAGTACGAGTACTCGCATTGTACACACAAATAAGGAAGCAATTTGCTACTCTCTGGCCCGACTTCAAGTGAGGAAACGAAGCAAGGCGAAGCGGGCCCCAATCGCCTGTACGAAATCGGAGCCAACAAACTATTCGCAGACAAATTATGCGCAACGCCAACGCAGCGAACAGAATGAGACCCAGACCCCTGGTTCAGTGGAGAGGAAGAGAGGGAGAGGGAAAAGCCCCAATTCTGTGGAAAATTTGAATTTGTAAAATTCAATGCGTTGGGCAATCGACTCGTGGACTTGTGGCAGCCAAGAATTTCAGGCCCAATCATTTATTATGCATACCAAAAGACACCTTCGCCTTCGCTGACTGGCGAACTGATGGACAGATGACAGATTTACTGGACAATGTTGCAGCCAAATGTGGCAGCTGCGAGGGCTTCCGTGGTTCGCTCTGGAGCTCCAGCCGGAGCGTGAACTCAAAAGTGAAGCCGGGGGAACATCTGTCGCCATCTCCTCTCCTCGCTCTCTCACATGTCAAGGACAAGTCCAGCAACTGCAGAATTCCTGCATAAATTTGCATAAAAGCAAAAATGCCTGGTCCAACGAAAGACAATTGCAAATCATTGCAGATCGAGATTGAGTCTGTCGCTAGGCCGTTAGGAGAGTGTGAGCTCAAGAGGTGCGGCTCGGAGACTCAGACCTAGAGACTGCGACTTCGATGGCGACTCGAACTCGAACACAGGCTCTTGGGTCACTCGGTCAAAGCATTTAGTACACTGGCCAAACAAAACCCGTGTTCAATTTTGTGACAAGGCTAAAGAAACAATTTTTAGGCTGCGGAAAAGAAGTTAGATGGTTGAAGAAAAATATTTATTCTACCCATATTTTTCGTGATAGCGTTTTTAAAACAAAATTACTTTTAAGTCATGAAACTCTTGAAGCAATGTTCTCTCGAGAAATCTCACAAGTCCTGAAGTCCCGCCTGGATCTGAAAAATCGAGATATATCCAAGAAAGTCTTCAAAAACTGTAGACACTGTTCGACCGACAGGACTCATGCAGGCGATCATGGAATTTTCTTCGAGTGCATGAAACCACCAACACAATGTCACAATGGTAGCAGAAACCACAGAGCTAGCTGCATGTTGCATGCCACAGAGCTGCTCTTCATATTTCAACGCTGCAACTCTGCAACTCTGCAACGCTGTGGCCTGTCTGTCGGCATCGTCGTTGTCGTCGTCGTGTTTGGGCTGCCGCTTATCGCGATTTGTAACAAAATGCTGCTGAATAATTTTCGTATTTTTTGTGTAATATTTTTACGTACATATTTTGTGGGTTTTATTTTTTTTTTCGAATGTGTGTTTGCTTGTTTGCGGTTGTGTTTGCTTTGTCTGGATTTCAATGTCTTTTCGGGTCGCTTTGCGTAAATATTTGCCATTTTATTATTTTCTATTGACGTGGGACTAGTCGCAGCCCCAGCCCCAGCCAAAGCCCCGGCCCCAAAAATGTTTAATTAGCCCATTGCGACAGTGGCTGAGCTGAGATCATCTGGCCGGGCCGTGTCTCACGTCTCACGTCTCGTTTGGAAACAAAGCCTAATGAGCTTCCGTTTTGCCGAGGCTGTTTATCATCAGCCGGCCATCAGTTCAATGCGAAAGAAGCGAGTTCCGAGTGGAAAAGAGCCCCACAGAAGATACACACGAAGAAGCTCCTGCTGCAGCTCTAAGCCAAGTCCAAACTTGTCGCCAATAACTGCTTACAAGAGCTGAACCAGTTCTCCAGATCACAATTCTGAAACAGAATCCAATGCTGATTGCCTCTAGTTACTCCATAATCAAGTTATTCGTTATTCGTGCTCATGTCAGCGATATCTCTCTATCTAAATCAAGTGGCAAACATTTGACATTGTCTGACTCGGCATCAGATGCACATTCGGATTCGAATTGGGATTCGGATTCGGACTCCGATTCAGATTCCATTTGCTGCATTTGATGCAGAGCAGAACAGAATTTGCATTTGCATTTAGTGTCTGCCTTGGGTGATGGCTTTATGGCCATTTCTGTGGTGCGGCAAATGATTGCAATTAACCAGCGTTTCAGAAGCTGCAACAGCAGCACCATCACCAGCACTAGCACCAGCACCAGCCGAAGCCTCAAAGGCATCCTACGCACAGTGGGCTTTGAATGAGAAGAGGTGCCTGCCTCTGTCTGCGTCTGCATCTGTGTATCTATCTGTGTCTGTGCCTGTTTGTGGGTCCGAACGGACTACGAGTATAAGTATCTATCTCAAACAAGTTATTCTCAATTACAGCCTAACGGCCTAACGGCCTAACAGTCAGTGCGAGTTTGCCAGCTCGAGTGCAGCTCGAGTACCGAACCGTCCCTCGTCTGGGCCATCGGAGGTCTTCTGTGATCTGTGATCTGTCTTCTGCCTGCTGCCGTTTGTCCCATGGTGCAGTGATTGTTGTTTTAATTAACGAGCTCAGCGCCGCTTGACTTGCCTCAAGAAATCAATTGCTCCTAAGCCCCGTCTACCGGACGGACGGGGCCTGATATGCTTGAGCGTTTCGGTGCGGATTTCATTGGGTATCTGTCTGCGGGGCTCTGCTTGGAAGACATTCGAGACATTGAACATTGTTGCTCCAAATGCTATTTGTTTATTAGCTCCGACTGCGATTGCTTGCTTTTGGATAATTATTTATTAAGGTTTTACATGGCAGTCCCTGTCCCTGTCCCAGAAAAGTGCACATTCAACACACAGAGCGACAGACAGACAGACATACAGACAAACCGACAGAGAGGCAGACAGACAGCTGCAAGGTTGCTCTTGCAATCGAAAGAAACCCATAGCGGAGCCAAAGCCAAAGCCAAAGCCGAAGCAGATACAGATACAGATATTGTACATTAGATGCAGAAGATGATGCAGATACAGATACAAAGCTCGTCTGTGGCAGCTAATGGATTGAGATGTTCAACGATGTTCGTCGCTCGTCCCTGAACTCTTCTGCTGAACTCTTTTCATCCCAGATTGCACTGCCAACTCATTCCGTCTTGAAAACTCTGTAAAAGTACAATACTTATTAAGTCACTCGGAAACTGTTTTTAAAACTGAATTAAAATATCTTCGTACCACCATGTACCAGCTCCACTGCTCAAGGCTCGTGGGGGCTCCTCTTCTGAGCTAAGCTCCCAAAAAATCCGCGCGGATGCAACCGCGAGGAGCTCCGCGACATGGCCGAGGGTGACCGAGCAGCGTAGGGCTCTGAAGAACCACCTGCCATATGAGGATTGATTTATGGGAGATGTCCAAAGTGAAGGAGCAAATTATAAGGCAGATAGAGGAGGATCAGGAGCACGAGCAACAGCAGCAGCAGTCACCAGTTCTTCGATAACATGCTTCAAAAGAGAACTCTCAGGGACAAAGAGTATTTTGGGAACATCGGGTAAGTATTTGAAGTTATGAAGATGCACCTAAACCACCATGGGATTCTTGAAGTTAACGGCCCCTGATCTTCCGCGTATTTTCCTACCACATTAACCCACCAAAGTTTTTCCGTTAGCTTCCCCGTATCCACCGCGGTAGGCACGGCATAATTCCATTCTACATGCTCCCCCTATGGAGCAACTGCAGAAGAAATTCGATGAGGAGCAGTACGCCTGGCAATGTCCAATAACAACAATTTGGTTAATTTGTGTGTATTTTGCAGTGACTCAAGGCTGCCTTCTGTGACCGTCGAAGATAAGAGATAACGAAAATGTGCGTTTGAGCATGTCGCAATGGGGTGACTTTCAATCACAAGATGCACCTGGATCCATAGAGCCCTCTAAGTATCCACTATCCACACTGGATCAACACAATTATCCACTTGGCTCCACACTCTGTTCCAGTCTGTAGTCCTCTGTAGTCCGCAGTCTCCGAACAAAAGTACAGATTCAAAAGCGCTTTCACGCTCCAGCGCCTGTTCAGCCAGCGGGTAAAACGAAAACCATTGGCCATTGTCCGGGTAATTTGTTTGCGCTTTGTTCTCTTACACAATCCTCAATCTGCAATCGATGTCTTTGGACTGCTTGACCGACCAAGTGGATACGGAGCCCGGATACACAAGCCCCATACCCATACAATTAACATTCCGAATTCAATATCATTCTTGAATCTTCTGCAACTATGCCAAACACTGAAGAATAAAGAAGATTACAGCTTAAAATGTTCTAATGTTCAAAGTATATTTCTTGTCAATTTAGGCAATTTCCATTATTTATTTGTCGGCATTCAACATCGTTCGATTAATTTCTCGGTTTTTTTAGGGGTATTCTTCTTCATGTTCTTCTGGCTTCTTTCGGTTGGTTCAGTTTTAGGTCAGGATCGGTTTCGTCGAGAAGGGGTGGGTTGGGGTCCCTATGCGAACCGCATGCACTTGGCCTTCTGGGTGTAGGTGACGGCCCCATACTCCTCCACGATCTGGTCGATGGCGATCTTGTTCAGGTTCTCCAGGTAGAGGCGCGTCTTGCGCGACTGGATGATGTAGCTGATGACGTCGTGCATGTTGTCGAAGTAGAGGAAGCCGGCGGTGCCGCAGCTGAGGTCCAAGTAGCGGAATCGGTTCACGTCGCAGGTGCATCCGTCAAAGAGGAAGTATATGAAGTCGCTGTTGTTGTGGTAGCGGAAGACCACGTAGTTGCCCCAGGGCGCCATCACGAAGACGCGTTCCGCACACCGGAAGCCGGCGCGCAACAGCTTGCAGATGCTGTCGTAGCACCCGTTCTCGGACCCCACCACCGCCATCGTCTCGGGGATGCGCAGGAGGGCAGGGTAGTGGTTGGGCTGGGCCCGCGCCACGTCATGGGGGCCGCTGGTCTCAGGGCATGGATCCAGCGGGGCCATGGCCTTGGGTATCTCGGGACATGGTGGACAGGGCTCCGCCGCGACCGGTGCAACCGCTATGGACTTCTTTCCCTTCTTTCCCTTTTTCCCCTTCTTTCCTTTGCCCTTCTTTCCCATGGCGAAAAGCTAACGAATGCTTCTTTTCTCTTCGAAGACGACGACTTCTTAGCTGTGCCCTCCGAGGAGCTTCCTCTAGATAAAGTCTGCAAAAAGGTCTTCCCTCTTCGTCCGATTACTGGCTATTGAAGTGCAGGGAGCCCCAGGCTTGCATATTGCTAAGGACAGAAAAAAAAGGATAAAGGATATACAACAATTAGAACAATAGTTTTGACAACCCTTGCAATATTGCTCAAACAAATTGAAATTTAAATTTAAATAAATTATGACATGCTTTAGGGACATGAGAATATCCTTAGCAATCCTTGGGCTCCGCCCATCACTACACTGTACGCTCAAAAGACAACTGATGGCACTCACCGGCAACTGAAACTCCGAAACGAACGTGAAAGGTGAAAGGTGAAAGGCACTCGATGGAAAGCACTAGAACTAGATAGCACCACTTGACGACCGCAAGCGCACTGCGATACGATGGTAAAAAAGATTTCGAATACGCGAATGCGAACCGATGTAGCCGAAAGAAAAAATTTTTGTTCGGAAAATATATTTTACTTATAATTTTGACAAGATCTAAATTTTTTGTTTTCCGAAAAATAATTTTTCTCCGAGTTTTTTTGTGTGTCGTGTGTGTCGTCCGGACACGATTCTAGTTATGGAAAAATATTTTGTGGCTTGTCGAACGGACACTGACGCCTCGACAAAATGTCTGGTCTCGGCCAACTTGATCCGGAAATTTGTTCCCAGATTTGTGGGGATTTTGGACAGCTCTGAAAGTCTCAGAATGAAGTGCCATTCCATCGAGTGGGTGTTTTCTCCTTCTATTATGACATTTATTGCCATTCACAGCAGCGTTGCAGTGTTGGGCAGTGCATTCTGCCATCCTATTCCACTCAAAGGCAGTGTTGCAAAGCTGTCAGCTTGCAAATCTTTAACAAGAATTCAATCAGATGGTCTCCCGGGGTGATTGACCATCCAGATGCTGCAGAAAGAGAGGGTGGACATATGTAAATTAGGCAATGCCCAAGGGGGGGGGCCGCAGCTACTCAGATTAATTAAGTTGTGTGCATGCCAAGGAGTCGCCTCTCGAAACGACGATCAAGCGACCCAGCTCTGGCCTCAGGCCCACACATTCTTGGTCAATCGATGGAGACGTGCGATTGCAAAAGGATCCTCAGGTTCGGCCCCAGCTGTGGCTCGGCTGTGGTTTCGGCTAACAAAAGTGAATGGCTGTCAAAGCAATTAAAAGTCTGTGCACTCGACATCCAAAGGGTGCCAAGAGGCAGCGGCAGCGACAGCGACAGGGCAGGGGAAAGGCCAAATAAATCACAAAAATATGGAAATAATTAAGAGTCAGCCGGAGAGGCCAAGAACCTGTTGCCCGAATACCATTCGGAACATGGACCCCGCACCACCGACCACGTACCATGGACAATGAGCAGCGACTTGTTTGCATATTCAATGGATAGATTGAAATTACCACCCGCACAGTGGGGCGAACGGAGCAAAGATGAAACTACAGATATGTATATCCGATAGGATGAATCTCTCTAACAATTTTCACCGTGCATCTCACATCTTCCCCGGCTGGCAACCTTGTTCTCCTTCCTTCCCTTTCTATGTACTTTTGGCTTCACTCTGCCGTGTCCTGTGTCCACTGTGCTTGCCAATTGGCTGCAGTCGCATGCAAATCTATTAGCTCCCCCCAAGATCGCTGACTAAGCCACAAATGACGCTCGACAGTTCGGGCCAGGTTTGTGGTCTGGTCTGTGCCTTGTCTAGACTGTAGTGTGGCTACTTCCATGGCACTTACTGTGGCTGCTGTTGCTACGAGTATAGTATTTGTTGTTTCTGGTATCTGGTGTTTGGTCAATTTTTGTACTTTTTTTTGTATGCCAATTTGCGTCATTAATTTGTTTGGCGCTCTAATCAAACGGTGCCGGCGAATGGCGATGGATGCTGAGATATGCACATTCGAGGGATGTGCAGATACAAACATACAAATATGAATATAAATATAAATGCTAATGCATAAATACGAAGATAAATGCGTGGATATGGATGCAGATACCAAGTGAATAATGTTGAAACCCCGAGATATTCAGAAAATCCATAAAGAAGATCCATGTTCTTTAGTGAATTGATACTATTTTTGGAAATATTATGGAATAACTTAGATGCTTTTCCTTCAAAAGATGATTCCGCATACATATTTGAAAGGAATTTAATCCTCATTCTTCAAGATTCTTAGATATATGTATTTATAAAGCTTTTATATTAGCGACTTAGTTCATTGTCCAGTAGAATGCCCCTAAAAAAAGAGGTTGGGAAATTCCCTTTGTATTGGGGATAAAATACTTTTTTTAAACGTAAACAGAATAATGGCTGGCCTTCATCCGGGAAGGTGTGGACTGGTGGAGCAAAAAGTGGAGAAAAAGGCTAAGACCATGAGCCAAATGAATAACTTATATGGCTTTCTGCTTGCCCTTCGAATGACTTCTAGACTTTTTTCAAAACGAGTCCCAGGCCAAGTAACTTTATCAGACTATGTCATTCGTGACACTGCAAAATTTCTGATACTTTCGGGGCTGTTGGGTCAGATCTTCGTTGCGGAGATGCAGCGCTACCTTTATTCCGACCACATACTGGAGGCCTTCAATGTATTCCACCGACCGATGGTCCTAGAGGAGGTGGTCGCCTACGTGGCCGAGCTAGAGGTCAAGTCGATGGAGGAGGTTCGCCTGGACGTGGACAACACCCTAACGGCGGCCTGGATGCACGGCTTCGTCAAGCAGAAGGATAACTGGTACACTCTGGAATGCGGCTACTGGGACGATGAATCCACAGGAGGCACTGCTGCAGCTCAAAGTAAGCATTAGCGTGTGTCCTGAATCTCCGCCGTCCACCCAGCCGGTGCCTGCATCCAAGCATCCTGCAACGGATAATCCATCTCTGATCAAGCGTCGTGGCCCTTTTTTGGTTGAATAAACAGTTCCCCAAAGCTGGTAAATGTTTGGTTTTTGATATGGTGATGGCTCTGCTTCCTGTATGTGCTGGAATCACTTTTTAGATAACTTTAATCCAAGATTGATTATATGTTGAGGATCTATTGCTATTATAGTTCCGAGTACTTAGCCGTGTCCTTCGAGAAATAAGCTTAAAAGCCACTCCTGACTCTTCTCCTCCGCTCAGATTGCGAAAATAATTGGAAATCAGTAAATACATGGATATTTTCAAACACTCTAATACGGGTATTCGTACTCGTACTCGTATTCGTATTCGTACTTGTTCATATGGGAATGGGAATGGGAATCTCTGCTTAAAGTTTGACATTTGGAAGCCTTATTCGTGAAGTCGTTTAAAGTCGTTTCACTTTACTATCCTCGAGATGTGCGGCATTTGTGGCATGTGGCATGTGGCCATGCAATCGCTGCCACAACTCCCACTTCAGCATCAGCTCCAGCACCATCTCCACCACCAACTCCAGACGGGTTCAGTGGGTCGCTGGTGGGTCTCTCTAGTGGGGCACACTTCTATTGCTTCATCTTCCAGTAGCGGGCCAGTGCTTGCTTGGCTAATGGGGCATCTCAACCTGTCGTAGCGGCTGCCGTGAGTCGGCAGTTTCGATTAGGACACCCAACTATGTACATATACGTACTCTTCTGGACGCGTATTATATAACCAGCAGTTGCATTGTGCGAGCTGGTTCCCAACTCCCATCTCCCATCTGCAGTTGAAGTTGCAGTTGCAGTTGCAGTTGCAGTTGCATCAATGGCGAGATTTCTGCGTAGGAGCCGGCTGTGGCACGAGCATCTTCTACCATTTGCTGGCAATTAGCTTCCAGTTCCAGCGAATAGATGGGTATCCCGATCCCCTATTGAGGCTTAAGCTTTCGCAACTGAAAGATACTCGTACAAGAATTCAAGTTTCGTTGGCTTTGCCAACAGAAAGATACAAGATGCATGATTGAAGTGCTACAAGCACACATCTGGGATAGGTACCACCATAAGCTTTCGGCTTGTCGGAGCTTTCTGCTTGTCAGAGCTTTCACATTGAAGCTCAGCTTGCAGCTTTCGGCTGAATAAGTTTGTGTCGGAGCTTATTGGAGGGGAAATTTCAATATAATTTCCGTGTGATTATGCGCATGAAAAGCGTTCGCGTGTACCCCACGCTCCCCCGCCAGCCCCAGCCTTGTACACCAGTGAGGAGGGGTGGGCAGATGCTGGCTGCTGGTTGTTGGGGGGGGGGGGGGGGGAACTCTCATGGATTTGGCGCGCATTCTTCGAATCAAAACACTCGTTTGTGGGGTTGAGGCACGTATTCCGTATTCCCCCGATAAACGCACCGATACTAGGCCATGGGCTAGTGCATCGAACCGACCAGCGCCTTGCGACGCCAGCGAGTCTGGGCCAAGCCAAAAATAAGACCAAGTCATTGGGTCAGGCCAAGCCCATGAAGGCCAAACAGTGAACAGTGATAAAGAGCGAAAGAGAGTAACCAGGGGGGGCGAAACACTCTGGCGCCAACATTTTTATTGCAACTCTTGAAGTGGTTTGAGTGGTTTGGTGGGGACTGCAGACTGCAGGTAACGGTAACCCACTGCAAAATCAACAAAATGCAAAACGCGTTCCGCACGCAAATCAAACAGTGTCTGTCCCTCCGTCCGTCCGTCCGTCCCAGGTTCGAGCTCGAGCTCTGGGTATGGGTCTGCGTCCGGGTGGGGCTTTGGGTTCTGTTCGGGCGGGCAGTCAAAAGGTTGAAGGTCCTCTCGCCCCAGCCACCCTACTTCGAGAGAGAGAGAGAGAGAGAGAGGGGTAGCCTTCAAGTGGCGCTTCATGAATGGCTTGGCCCGGAGCAGGCTTAATCCCAAATTGTATCTTTAAGTTTGGGTGCTGGGTGCTGTCGGTTTTTACGAGTTTCCTGCTCAATGAAGTTGCACGTGCCCCCATCCCAACCCCCCACCCCTGTTCTTCTCCCTTAATAAATCCTTGAGGTTGTGTAGTTTGGCTTTTCGTTTTCCTTTGTCTGAGAGCTGCTCCCGCAGTCCTTTTATTTAACCGTAGCTCACCCAAAACCGAGCACCAAACCGAAACACAAGCCCTACGCAAGCTAACCCAATCCAAAGCAACCCTTTCCGACCCGACCTGGCCACCTGACCTGTCTTGACCTGACCTGATCTGACCCCCAACCAATCTAAGCAGTTGCTAATGGCAAATATACATGGAAATACTCGTATATTGAAATGCACGGGATGAGGACTGGGTCACGTCTCCGCTGCCTCCTTCTTTGTCGTCGTCCTCGTCCTCGTCGTCGTCTTTGTCTGAGTTCGCTTTACAGCCGTCGGAATCGAGAAAATGGAGAACATGGAAATGGAAATGGGAGACAACCTTCAAGAACCACTTTGAAACACCATTTTTCTCAATTAACAAATACGAGCAAATGGTGCGCAATCAGACATTAAACCACTTGTCGGACCCTAGACCAGACGCCCTCCTCCCTCCCGCTTATCTATCTTTTATCCCTGGTAAAACTCATTTTTATCCCCGAAATGAACGAACTTCTTTGTGCCAATATAGGAGTATCAGCTGCAGATTGTTTTTGTGTGGGTTTTCCATTTATTCCGAGTATGATTTCGGTTCCGTTCGGTTCCAAAGTATTCTCTAAACGATTCCAACTGATTACAGCCATGTTTTACATTCTCCGGCAGCGATTTGTATTCCCCATTCATCCGAAATGTCTCCCCAGAGCTTCGTCTTTGTCGTTGTCTTTGCTTCTTGGCTAATTGCGTAATTTATTTGGCAGGCTCCTGCCATTCTAGGCATTCTTCCATGCCCCCCTTCATTCGAAATGGAGCTAAATTGTCAATACCAAATGCCTTTTTAAATTCCAATTGTGTTTGCAGTCAGGCATCGTTTTGTGGCATCAGCTTGGATTTGTTTGCCCCAACAAAAATGGAAGGGGGCGGGGACGGGGTTCGGGGACGGTTCTAGGGCAGCCACTACTCGGTGGATCTTTTTTGTTGTTGTTGCGAGCGAGTCGCTAAATAAATATGACGCTCGAAAATTGAAACCCGGCCATAGCTTCAGCGCCTAGTCCTGCCTGGTCCTGCCTGTCCTCCTGTCGTGCTGGATCTACATGTAAATGATAAAAGATGCCAAATTGCCAGGACTTTGTGCGGTTGGATGGGCGCTGAATGGGGAGGATGATGATTGGAAATTCACTTCTTTTTCTCTCTCTCTTCCTCTCTGTTTGGTTGGCTCCGTGAAATTGTTGGGTTTTTGGCGTTATTTTAGGCGCATGGAAATGCGCATAAAAAATATGCAAACACAGCCCACAAAAGCACGTAGATACAGCCAGGACACACACACATGGACTACCATCCAAGGCTGAGTAAACATATCAATGCAAAAAAGAAGAGAAAACGGAACCCAAACAAGAGTCAGTTCCATCAGTGTTAAACGGAATCGACTGGCTCGAGAGCCATGGAAATCCCACATCACTTGGCCATCATCATGACTGGTGGCAACACTCGTACTGTGGAGAGCAGAGCCCATTCTCGTCCACATCCCCCTCTCTGGCCAGCCAGTTCTTACAGGTGTTGATGATAAAGCGATTAAGGGGACGCCCAACTGCGTGGCTCAGCGAAACGGGAAACACGACTAGCGCTGGACCAAAGGAGGCGCCCCAGATTCACACACACCACGTGTGTGTATGTGACGGAGTGGAAGCCTATTCGCCCCAAGACAAGGTCAAGCAGTGCTCAGTGCTAAACCGCTTCATCAGCCCCAAAATCATCGGGCATCATTCTACTCAAATCTCCCGCACCAGGAAACTTCCGCTCCACTCCGTATGGGCGTTATGGGGGGTATGGGGTATGGGAAAGCAGCTCCGCTGGGAGATGAATCCCCAGTACAGAATTGCAGCTACCAGTCCCCTGTGACTCAGCTGTACGTTCAGATCGAGAGTATCTGCGGGATACGTTTTCAAGCATCTGGGAATAGTCGTAACACTCTCCGCTGCCAGGGTATCCTCTTGCAAATAGGGAAGGAACCAAAAGGAGACCAGACTTTAGTTTTTGGGGTGGCCGGAGGGCAGAAGGAGGGCGGCCAAAACACGGCAGACGTAGCAGGCAAAACACCCACCGAGTGGCACCCACACACACACACTCATGCAAGTGCTACCTCGAAGGTGTATCTGTGTCGGCGCTGTGAGAGCGCGTGTGAGTGCGTACAAACAAGCCATTTCCGGCTGCTGCCTTCCGAGCAGCAATTGAGGTCTGCACTGAGAGAAAAACCCTACTCCAGCCATCCAAAAGTTCGAGTTTTTCCAAAAAATGTCTCGAGTCAAGCATTCTTGAAGTTCTTTAAGCTTCCTTACTTTTGCCACAGTGCGGCTCTGCAGGGTGGGGATGGGGGATGGGGGATGGCAGCTCTTCTTTGGCATCCTCAGCGAAGTAGCAGAAACTGAAACAGAAACCAAATGCGAAATCGAGGCACAAGTGCGAGAAGTCCGCGTTGAGCCAGAGGCAAACGCAAACGCAAACGCAGAGGCGGAGGACTGGGACACGTCAGATAAGCATCGCCGCGAGCAATGCACAAGTGTCCTGGTGCTGGTGCTGGTCCTGGTCCTGGACCGTCATGTGGGGCACAGTGGTGTGGAAGTGAGCCTGGATAGGGGCCATTTGGCGGTGCCACCAAGGTATGTAGACTCCTTAAGTAAGCTTCTTTTTTTTCATATATTTTGATAGTCGATACATCCTGGTAATTGATTCGTTTTCCGATTATTTTTCGAATATTCAATTGGTACAGTTAGATAAGTGTCTTTCGTGTATTTGACGTATTTATTAACCCACATACGTATGTACATAACTTTGGTATTTTCGGAATCTATCGCTTCCTCCCCAGCAAATTTTCATTTGCCCTCGGACCAATGTGGCCCAGTTTCCAGCTGCCGGGGGATCAAGGCCCCCAGGGGCGCCCAGAGATGTCCCCCATTTGTAGTCTCAATGTT